GGAGGAAAGGAAGTGTGGGTGGGAATAGAGATAAGTTTGTAAAGGGGGGCTTGGTGGTAGGTAGCTGAGAAATTGAGAATGTTACTGCCTAATATCCTCAGTGTTCTCTTAGAAATTAGAGACAAGGTCAATAAAAAAGCAGGTGAAGTTTTGGAATTGCTATTTTGTGGCTAGGAGGCCTTTCATAAAATTGCTGAATGAATAAATGAACTCAAGACTAATGGACAGAGAGGCAAGAAACATAAAGAACCCCAGGTGCTCTCCAGATTGCCCACTAAACCACATCTGACTCACCTGGCTCCCTTTCTGCTCCCTTTTTCCCCTCTTCTGTTCTCAAACTTAGTCTGATCTAGAATTGCTTAACAGGTCCTCACTCAGGAGATGTGGACTTCCTGCTTGTAAATTGCTTTAGGCTTTAACAATCTTAAAAACTTCCTAGGTTATCTAGCGGATATGTAATTTACCGTAGTTAACCAAAATTATTTTTACCCCCATAGGCTGTGAGGTTTTGAAGTTTTTGGCTATTTTCATCTTTGCATTTAGTGTCTCTAGCACAGGAGTGGCATATAGGCAGCCCCTAGTTTATTTCTTTAGCTTAGATGGTCCAGATTTAAGGCTCCCCTGCCTATTAGGCCAGATTATGCTTTTTTTTTCTTTTTTTACCCTACAGAAGATAGTTAACCTTTACAAATACATGTATATGTTATATAATTTTAATGGAAGTATTACCACAATGCAGAAAAGTGCATAAATCATGTGTCCAGTTTTCTGAATTTTCAAAGTAAACACATCTATGTAACAGTGTCCAGTTCAAGAAACAGAATATATCAGCAGCATCCCTGAAGCCCCCTTTTGTGTCCCCTACCAATCATTATTTCTCTGCAAAGGTATCCACTATGCTGACTTCTAACCACATAAATTAGCTCTATTAGAACTTTATATAAATGGAGTCATATAGTATGTCCTCTTCTGTGTTAGGCTTCTTTCACTCAGCGTTGTATTCATGCGGTTCATCTATGTCATTCTATAGAGTTGGAGTCTATTCGGTATCTTTGCCTTAAATATTCCATCATATGAATCCCAAATTTATTTATCCATTTTGCTGTGGATGGATGTTTGGGTTGTTTCCAGGTTTGGGCTATTAGGAATAATGCTGCTTTGAACATGTCTTTTGGTGAACATATGTTTGCATTTCTATTGGGTATATATCTAGCTACAGAATTGGTGAATGCTACGGTGTGTGAATGTTTGCTTTAATAGATATTGCTAAATAGTTTTGGCAATGTGGTTGTGTAGTTATACCAAATTATATCTCCACCAGCGGTGTTTGAGAATGAGTTGCTCCCACATCCTTGTTAATGCGTAGTATTGTCTCCCTTTTCCAATTTTAGCCATTCTGTTTTTTTTTTTATTGCAGTGACCTTGGTTTATAACATTATATAAATTTTGGGTGTACATTGTTATATATTTTGATTTCTGTGTAGATTACATCATATTTATCACCCAAAGACTAATTACAATCCATCACCACACACATGTGCCCAGTCCCCCCTTTTGCCCTCCCCCCTCACTCTCTGGTAAGCACCAATCCAATCTCTGTTTCTTTCTTTTTTTTTTAAAGATTTTAGTTTCCTTTTTTCTCCCCAAAGCGCCCCTGGTACATAGTTGTATATTTTTAGTTGTGGGTCCTTCTAGTTGTGGCATGTGGGATGCCGCCTCAGCATGGCTTGATGAGCAGTGCCATGTCTGTGCCCAGGATCCAAACCGGCAAAACCCTGGGCCACCGAAGTGGAGTGCGTGAACTTAACCACTTGGCCACCAGGCTGGCCCCAATCTCTGTTTCTGTGTGTTTATTTGTCATTGTTTTTATCTTCTACTTATGAGTGAGATCATATGGTATTTGACTTTCACCCTCTGACTTATTTCACTTAGCAGAATACCCTCAAGGTCCATCAGTGTTGTCACAAATGACCAGATTTCATAATTTCTTATGATTGGGTAGTATTCCATTGTGTATATATACCATATCTTCTTTATCCATTTGTCCCTTGATGGGCACATAGGTTGCTTCCAAGTCTTGGCTATTGTGAATAATGCTGCGATGAAAATGGGGGCCATTATGGTTTTATTTTGTGTTTCTTTGGTGATTAATGAGGTAGAGTACCTTTTCATATGCTTTTTGGCCATTTGAATATCTTTTGTTGATGTCTCTTGCTTGTATTTTTTTGGGATATCTACTGTTAGTAATTTGTAAGAGTCCTTTATATTTTCTGATTGAAAGTCTTTTGTTGAAAAATATATATATTGCATATTTCTCCCATTCTGTGAGTTTTCACTCTAGTTCTTTTAGTAAACAGATATCCTTAATTTAATTAGTTTATTAAATTTTTCCTTTTTGGTTATTGCTTTTGTGACTTGTTGAAGAAATTGTTGCCTACTCTAATGTCATGAAAATATTTTCCTATGTTCTTCTAAAGGCTTTACTATTTACCTTTTACATTTAGATCTACAATCTATCTGAATTGATTTTTGTGTATGGTGTGGCAAGGGTGAAGGTCTCTTTTTTGCCTTATGGATATTCAGTTGACTCCAATATCCTTTATTGAAAAGACCATCCTTTTACTACTGCAGTGTTACTGTTTTCATAAATCTGGTGACCATATATATGTGGATGTGTTTCTGGACTTTTTATTTTGTTCTGTTTGTCTATTTGCTTATCCTTGTGCCAATAATCACACAGTCTAATTACTATAGCTTCATGATAATCTTGATATCTGGTAGTGTAGGTCTTCTAGGTTTATTTAGTTTTTGCCACCTGGATTACCTTGGCATGCTTGGCCCTTTGCATATAAATATAATTTTAATCCAATAAATACTTATTTAATACCTATTTATTATGTGCTAGGCACAGTGATAGGCCAACCTGGTGTCTGGTGGTTAAGATTTGGAGCTGTTACCACTTTGGCCTGGGTTTGTCTCCTGGTCAGAGAACCATACCATCCATCTGTCAGTTGCCATACTGTGGCAGCTGTGTTTTGCTGTGATGCGGAAAGCTATGCCACCAGTATTTCAAATACCAGGAGGGTCACTTATGGTGGGCAGGTTTCAGCGGAGTTCCCAGACTAAGACAGACCAGGAAGAAGGACCTGGCCACCCACTTCCAAGAAAATTGGTCATGAAAACCCAGTAAATAGCAGTGGAGCGTTATCTGATATAGCTCCAGAAGATGAGAGTATGGTGCAATAAAACCAGACAGGTGGGCCGGCCCTGTGGCTGAGTGGTTAAGTTCGCATGATCCACTTTGGTGTCCCAGGGTTTCGCTAGTTCAGATCCTGGGCGCGAACATGGCACTGCTTGTCAGGCCACGTTGAGGTGGCATCCCACATGCCACAGCTAGAAGGACCCACAACTAAAATATACAACTATGTACTGGGGGGATTTGGGGAGAAAAAGCAGAAGAAAAAAAAAAAGAAGATTGGCAACAGTTGTTAGCTCAGGTGCCAATTTTTAAAAACCAGGCAGGGTTCTGCTCTGCTATACATGGGGTCTCTAGGAGTAGGAATCAACTCAATGACACTAACAACAAGGCACAGTAATAGATGTTGGGAATTTAGCTGTCAATAAGAAAGGGCTGGTTCTTTCGTTATAGTTGGGAAGGCCACTCACACAGAGTGAGATGAGAAGAGGGCCTAGGATAGAGCTCTGAGGAACTCAGTATTTAAAGTCAGTTAGCAAAGAAGAGAGAAGGAGAGAGCCAGTGAGCGCGCGCGTGTGTGTGTGCCCATAACCTCAAATATAAGAAAACCAGGAAAGGACAGCATGAAGGAAGCTCAGGGAAAAAGGTATATCTAGAAAGTGTGGTCAGTTATGTCAATGTTGCTTCAAGGTCAAGAAAGATAAAGACTGATGGAACATCCATTGGTCTTAGCTCTGAGTGGCTATTGTGAACTTTTAATGAAGCAGTTTCTGTGGAGGGCTGGGTGTGTGTCTTTATTAGATTGTAAATTCTTAGATGGGAACAATGTTCCCTGTTGAATTAGTGCTTCATGAATGTTATTTCATGACGATAATCAAATGATCTGCATACCGCTAAACATCATAACGGCCAAAATGGTTTTCGATTTTATACCACTCCTCTTCATATCCATTCTTGCAGCTGATGAAAAAGTAATTGCTCTTATAAATGGAGAATAATTTAATACTTACTCAAACCTTGGCTGTTTTAGAAAATCAAAAACTATACTTCATCCATTCATTCATTTATTCATTCATATATTTATTCATTCATTCAGCAAGCATATATGGAGCAACTACCAACTATCCAGGACTTACGAGCATTGTGCTAGACATATAAATAGGGAAGGAAGGGAGGGAAGGAAGCCTAGAAAGGTGTCTTTAGCCCATGAGTTAACTCTGCAATCTCTATTTTTACAGCCTTCCATGACTATTCAAAAGGAGCATTGGTTAACCTCTGTGACCTGAAGACACAATTTCAGAAAGTGCTTCCTTTCTGGTTAAATAAAGAACAAGATTTCAGTAGAGGTCTTTGTCCTTGTTGGGATCCTTTTATAATTTATTGTTTGCTTAGTATTTATTTACACCTTGATATTTATGTTTGAGTCATTTTCTTTTTAGATTTGAGTGCTCATTTTAGGAAAGGAAGAGCAGAGATTAGTTCATTTTCATATACAATAAAATCACATTAAGTGTGGGCAGTGCTAACTATTATCATTTATCAAGGGTCAGGGCCAAAATTTATTTTTCTTCGTTGTGCAAATTATTAGTAGACTTGGACTTTGGGTCAGGTGGATTAATAAATGCCCAAGTAAACCATTTTCAAGCACACCTGAACAACGTAAGAATTTCTACTTTACCATAAAATCTTGACGTATTAACTTAAAATAATTTTAAAATTCTATTTCTTAAGTCCTTGTTAGGATTTTATAAGGGAACTTTTTTTTTTTCACTTAATTGAAGTACTTGAAAATGTAGAAGTCTGGTAGCTTAGAGAAGTCTTCAGGAATAAGATTAACCTTGAGTTAATCCTTAAAGACTCTGGAATGCAAATGGTAAGCATACCACATTGGCAGAAGTGAAGCTTTCTTTAGCAGGGTAGAGAAAAAATGAGGAATATAAGCTAAGTTCACAGCAAGAATAAGACGACCATTTAGTTCTTTTAAGAAGAACTTTTGGCAGATTGGTTCAAAATGATTTTTTCCTCTTAAATTGTTTTGGTTTTTTCCTTAGAAATAACTAGAAACAAAGACTACTAACTGCTGCAAATTGGTAGGGTCTGGTAGTATTTTAGTTCCAATTGGTGAAGAAGGGAAATAGAAAATTAAGACAGTTTTAAATGGTGCTTAACATTTTTAGTTCCAAGTTCAATCAGCATAGTCATCAACTGACATTTACTCTGAACCCCTTGGGTGAATGGCAGTGAACCAAATCCCACAAGAAATAATATCTTCTGCCTACGTGAGCAAACTGGTAGTTGAACTATTGCTCTCAGAAGCTATAGATGATAATAGTTGATGTTAATATGTGGTGAGATTCCAGCCTTGGAGTCATGAAAGTTAAGATAGGAAAAATGTATACTGAAAAAAAATTTTTTTAATAGAAACTGTATCTACTTTCTGCCTTGGATAAAGAAGTCACTGTCCTATGGAGTGAAACACTAAACATGTCAAATTATTTTTTAATATTTCACCAAATATTATTCCAGCTCAAAAGAGTTGAATTTTATTTGATCACTGTATGAATAATGCAAGATAAACTTTCATTTTGACAAGTAAAATAAGGAGATGAGTTGATTCAGAGCATGTCAAGTAGAATCTTAAAATAAGTGATTTGTGCCTTCATTAAAAATTCAAATACAAAGAAATCTTTGTGGATAAGATGTCAAAAATTTGTAACTGAAATCTATTTTTACCTGACCTCCAAGGTTAATATTACATTTAACATTAAGGGTTTTTTTTCATTCTATAATACTAAAAATGTTTCTTTTAAGTATGGTCAGATATTAAGTACTTATCTTTCCCCAGTAGGCTCCTCTTCCCTTTTTAATTTTTCCCCACCCAAATCTCTTTCCCTTTGGTGGAGTTCTTATTGCTGGCAACCCAGTCATTACCATTCTAATACCATTTAAGGTAGCTCTGCTGGGTTTATTTATTTTGAGCCCTACAATCTGGCTTCCTAAAACAAGTTGACAAACCAGTTTATTTTTCCCCCTTTTCGCTTCAACACCTCGTGATTTAGATTGGTTAGGAAGATATAATGTAATCCGGGCACAAGCTCTTCCTCTTGGAATCAATATTTTCGAGGCTTCCTCCTTTCTTGGCTGAACGTGCTTAAGTCAGACAGAGTACCTTGTGAAGGACTTCAGCCCCCACAGTTCCCTGTGTGCGCATGCCCTCTCTTCTTACAGTTGTCAAAGTGCTTTTGCCAGAGCGGTCACATAATCAACCTGAAAGAAGAAAATAAATACTGTACACTTTTAAATTTTATCGATCCTTAAAAACTGGACACTCAAAGGTAACTGCTACTAAGAATTTGTTACTTGAGATTGGGTGATTGCATGTAAAGGAAAATCTATTGTGTGTGTGGTGGGGGGAGGGGAAGGAGGTATCTATTTCTCGGACTTGCTGTAAATAAGAAAAAAGAAAAAAACAACAAAAAAAACCCCACCCAAACAAATAAACTATATAAGCAGTTACTGAGAGACATTGCATGTTAACTTTGTAAATGTTATCTTAATCTATTGCTTATCTTTTGTTTCAAAGGGTCTTATTTATTAAAGATGGGTCTTGACCTTGACAGAGTGAATTTATGCAGAAAGTGAAATTTATATCTTTAAGGAGCATTGAGAAGAGAAATGGATGTTTCTTTTATGATAAATTTTTAAAAATTCAATTACAATATTAATTATAGCCTTTATAAAATATTCTGAGTCCAGCTTACTTTTTGGCTTTTTTGCCTTATACAGCATTAATTTTTCCACCAGGAGCATGTAGTTTAAACTGAAGGCATTAACAAAAAGCATTGATACAAGCATTGGAAAAGCTGAGTGACATTAAAATTATAATCAAATGCATATTTCAGCCATGATGATATGGCTATTGTAAAGACAACTCTAGCCCACTGGAAGCGACTCAAATTCCAGATTATAATGGTTTACTGCAGCACTGCTTTAACTGAGTGTGAAAATGTCTCTTTCTATGACCATTTCCTTTGACAGCATTAGAACTTTGTGCTGTTGTCAATCTAAGCTTCGCTTGCCTCTTTGTGTCATATTTTACAATACTGATCAAAGCCATTGTTTAGACCAAGGGAACTGAGGAACATAAAATCAATCTTAAGTAGATTTTATTGGTAGTAGCTGGCAATTTGTGATGTATATCATATTGGTGTTTTTTTTGTGGGGGGGTAAAGCAGGGAGGAGTAGGAAGGAGAGGAGGGTGGCTGTGAAGCATTTCCTTAAGCCCGCTATTTTGTCTATGTATGAAACTTTAAAGTGAAAGATTAACCATTTTAAAGATAGCCTTTAATAAAATAGTAGAACTACTTTTAATTCCATTTCTTGGTCTGACATATTTTGCATAATATTTAAGAGTGGTAGCATCTCTGTTATCCAATACATTTATTTTACAACAGTTATTATCATGAGGATGTCCAAAGTCAGAGCTTCTGTGTGTATCTGAATACTCTTTCACAAGTGTCCTGAGAAAGATGCTTCTCCAAGTATCTGAGTTAATTAACTGCATTAAACCTATTAATAACTTTGTTGCAATTATACCGAATCATCATCTAAAAATAATTATATGTTTGGTCATATGCTTTAACATTTCAAAATATTTGTTTTCAGGGTCTCAGCACTATAATATTCATATATTTAAAACAATATGTTCTAAGGGACAAGCTAACTCAGTGATAACTGTGTGTATGGAAATCTCCTGGTTTTGAGTGATTACTATTTTCATCCTTGAATGAGAAAATAGGCTATATGGCAGAGGTGAATATAGCCCTTCTATGCAAAATGGAAAATGCCATACACTCCTTATATGGCTAAATGAAGCAGTGATAGCAATGCACTATAATTACAATGTATGAGAATTTGGGACTTTGTACTATGCTATTTTTAACACTTTTGCTAGCATATGGTAATTCAGGGTCTTTAAACCATCTTTCACTGCTAATGCTAGTGATAAGAGAATAGATTCTAAATTTGCCGGAGTCTTGTGACCAAGGCAGCAGCAGGAGGATTCAAAAATGAAAATCTGGCAACCCCAGAATTATCTTGACTTTCTACTTAAATCTCAGAGGGATTTTTAAAAAGCCACACCCCATCCCTTCTCACAGTCAGTGCCTGTCTGTCTGTCTCTCTCTTTCTGACCTCAAATCCAACCAGAACATTTCTCCACTCTGCAGAGAAATTCTCAGGCTCCTGTTGAGACCTGAACCACTGAGATGCCAAGAAATCTCTTGTGTGGCAGAATTGGAGACAAGAAAATTGGAGAATAAGCAGAAAAACTCTAATCCTTAGAGTAACAAGAAGCAAGCACTTCCAAACGTTTCCGTAGATTTTTACCTCTTTAAAAACGGTGGTTTTTTATGTCTCATAACAAAATGGAGTAGCTGCAGCTACTGGGAGGCCAGAGAATGATTGTGCAGCTGAGACCTCCTCCTAACAAATGCCAAGGATTTCCTCCCTCGTGGCTCGCTGCTGCTAAATGAAACAATTATCAACGCAAGAAGGCAGTTCGCTAATCAAGAGGGATAAGATTGCTGTTTCTTTAAAGTGCCTGCACAGGGAAGGGGGAAGAAAGGGTCGTGTTCGGTGTCTTTTTAACCTTGCTGAAGGACGCAGCAGTATTTATTGACGTATGCAAATAACTGGGGGAGGGTGGTGCTTGGGAAAAAACAGGAACCAGAATCAGTTTCTCATTGCAGGGTGAACGCTCTGAGTTCCGGTGAAGGGAAAAGAGACGTGGCGAAATTGCTGTCTTTCTGTCTTATAAGCACATCTCTCATTAATACAGAAAAGGAACCAAGACATCAGAAAGGGTGAAGACGCTCTCACAGTATTTTTAGAGACCTTGCGCGAGCCCCCCCACCCCAGCTCGACCTGTTCTTCTAAATGGGAGATTATGGATTTGCATTGCAATTGGCTAGGAGCGGAGGCACTGGATTTTCGCAAGTAAAACACCCGTCCGCTTCAGCGAGGGGCATTAACGATCACATTGACAATAACGCGTCTCTCTTTTTTCCCGTTTCAGCTGCGCAAACCATGCAGGATGATTTACTGATGGACAAAAGCAAAACCCAGCCCCAGTCCCAGCAGCAGCGGCAGCAGCAGCAGCAGCAGCAGCCCCAGCCCGAGCCCAGCGCAGCCGAAGCCCCGTCCACGCCCCTCTCTTCCGAGACCCCCAAGCCAGAGGACAGCAGCGCAGTGCCGGCCCTCAGCCCCGCCGCGGCCCCGCCGGCCCCCAACGGCCCCGACAAGATGCAGATGGAATCGCCGCTCCTGCCGGGCTTGAGTTTCCACCAGCCCCCTCAGCAGCCGCCGCCGCCGCAGGAACCCGCGGCGCCGGGCGCGTCACTGTCGCCGTCCTTCGGCAGCACCTGGTCCACGGGCACCACGAACGCGGTGGAGGACAGCTTCTTCCAGGGGATCACCCCAGTCAACGGGACCATGCTCTTCCAGAACTTCCCGCACCACGTCAACCCAGTGTTTGGAGGCACCTTCTCCCCGCAGATCGGCCTGGCGCAGACCCAGCACCACCAGCAGCCGCCGCCACCCGCGCCACAACCCGCGCAGCCTGCTCAGCCCCCGCAGGCACAGCCCCCGCAGCAGCGCCGGTCGCCCGCCAGTCCCAGCCAGGCGCCCTACGCTCAGAGGAGCGCCGCCGCGGCATACGGCCACCAGCCCATCATGACCAGCAAGCCGTCCTCGTCCTCGGCTGCAGCAGCCGCCGCGGCCGCAGCCGCAGCCTCGTCCGCCTCGTCCAGCTGGAACACGCATCAGAGTGTGAACGCCGCCTGGAGCGCGCCGTCCAACCCGTGGGGTGGCCTGCAGGCAGGTCGGGACCCTCGCCGGGCGGTCGGCGTGGGTGTGGGCGTGGGCGTCGGGGTACCTTCACCACTCAACCCCATCTCGCCGCTCAAAAAGCCCTTCTCCAGCAATGTGATCGCGCCGCCCAAGTTCCCCCGCGCGGCCCCACTCACCTCCAAGTCCTGGATGGAGGATAACGCTTTCCGGACCGATAATGGTAACAATCTGTTGCCATTTCAGGTAATGCTCCAGTGCACCTGCACACACCTTCCTTGTACCCCCCTTCGCTTTACCCCTTCTTCTCTTTTAATCGTGCGTTAATTTTGTTCTTTAAAAAAGTCAGTGATGTCCAGCTCCCCTGTCCCTTTCCAAAACCCTCAGTTCACTGGGGTATTCCACTACCGGGGAGAAGGGTCGGGGAACATTGTGACTGCTCAAGGAATCGTATTTATGCATCCTGACAAGATAGAAAAGGCCCTTTTTCTTTTAGTTTATTTTTTCCTTCATCGTGCTTGTGCCTATTATTTTGACCTTCTTTGACAAGTAAAGCTGCAAGTGTATGGCAAGGTGCCTGCATAGTCCCGGGATGAGTAGGCTGAGATTCCTGTCGTTTTAAGTAGCTACACATTTCTGGTTATGCAATCTCGGTCTCAGGGTGCCGCCTGAAAGGCGTCCACTCCCAAACCACCCTGGCCCTGCTCTTAAAGAGGTTAACAGCCCCTGAGTTGTGCTATTTCAGACAGTTGCATATGCTCAATTAAACTAATGTGAACACATGTGTTTATGTCTCGCTAAGGTGCTGGCATCATTAATAGCAATCAACATATTGCCCCTGCTGGGAAAATTATGAGTGTGAGATTCCAATAAACACCGGAACTCTATCAGGGACTGAGATGGAAGAGTGGAAATTCTAGGGGTAACCCTTCATATGTTATCTAGGAGAAGGACTTAGAAATTGTTTTTTTCTAGAGGAAAGAGACAATAGGACACGACCTTCAGAGCCATATTGCAATGGAGTCTATTTACTAGCTAGCACTGAAATATTTAAAGCTGCAGTGTCCTTCAATTGGGTTATTTAAGAAGACAATGCAGATCAATTACACCATTTGAAACCCTGCAAAATGAAAGTCTTGCAACTTTAATGAAAAATGAGCCTTGTGTCTTGGTGTTAAATGCCAATTAAAAACCGAGGAAGTGCCCCAGACAAAAAGGTTGAATGGAGTGTGCGTATTCTGTTCTTGCTTTCTGATCCAGCTCATGGCCACATCAGTTGGCAGTGTTCTGAACATCTTGATTTGCAAAGGGGTAGTGAGGGTGAGTGTTCACTGGGGGCTTTTGTTCTCAGGCAAACATTTATCCTTCACTTACGAATTGATTTGGCCATAAGCTTCTAGGCTCAGTTAAAAAAGAAAAGAAAGAGAGAGGAGGGCTTTGGATAAGACCCAATTTGGGTGGTCAAGAAAATGAAACAGAAATCCTTTGAGCATTGCTAGAAAACTGCAGAACCGACATTTGACAGAGGTAGTTTACAGCATCAGGTGCAATTGGAACCTTCGTTTTGTTGCTCTTTACAGTTCAGATGTGATGTTTGGGGTCGCTCCCATCTGTGAAGGAGGAGACAGGGTTATTGAGAAGAGTATGATTCTCTAGGCTAGAGCAACGATTTTTAACCTTGACAGTTAAAGGGGGCTCTTGAAACCCGTAAACTGTGTGCATGAAAGTTTTTGATGAGAGAAGATCTTACCAAATTTTCACAAGGGTCCTTCAGGAATGGAAGGTTTTAATATTAAGGTGTATTTCTCCCCATTACTCTAAAGTTTGTTTATTTTAATAAAATAAATAGACAGCGCAAAATGGAATTAGTTTGATAGGTAGAGAAAAGGAGGAATCCACTTTCTGGAATTTCTCTATGTGCTTTTTTTTGGAGGCAGTAAAACAGGGAGGCTGCAATTGGTAGGAGATCTCTTTTTCTAACACTCTCTTTTTTTATTCTGACGCTCCCTACCCAAGTCCAGTCTTAGAGGATAACCTAAAATCTGATGGGGAGGTTTGGGGTTGGGGAGCTGGTGGTGTAGACATTGTCTTTTTCTAGGAGTTGAATCTGAATACCTAGTTTTTGATTAATTATGTCTGGAAATGGGGACTGGGGAGAGATTAAATCCATAAGATTTTTCCAAAACTGATATTGACAAGGAGTGTGGGGATTGCCAGTTGTTTCTCACTGCACCATTTACTAGTGATGCTAATGAGAGCCAGACCAACTGGATTGAGTTGGGGCTCTTGTCTTTTCATCCCTGGTGGTACTACTGAGTAGGCAAAGATGGCCGAAAGATTTGTAGGAGGAGAGATCTGATTGAAAATTGAGGATTATGTATTTGACCTCAGGAAGAATTACGTGGACTTTATGTCTCGTTTCTTTTTCTTACTTAAAATGGAACTTCAGGGCTTTGAAGCAATGTTAGAACCAGAGTAGGAGTAACCTGGTTGTGTTTTAGCTTGGAGCGTTACCAGACTTAGGTTGCGTTGATAAATATATCAAGGATGTTTAAAAAACAAAACACCTTGAGTCTTGTGTGCAGAATTTTATGTTTGTGCATTTATTTAAACAATTTTTCCACAAAAGGGAGAAAAATAGCTTAAGTAGTTCTAATGACTTTAAAGAAATTTGTTTATTTTGACAAATAGGATTTTTTTCTTTAAATTGACGAGTTTATTTCCAAATCAGCTTAATTTTTTATTTCAAAGACTCTCTGAGCTAAAAGGGGCTTTCAACAGTGGTCTACTTTAATGTATCTTAATATATATATTTTTAAATCGAGGCCCCCCCCCCACCCCTGCATCTCCCCAGTGCTGCTTCACTCTCTTTTGCCAACCAACACAATAGATTTTTTGAAGCTTTACTTCTGTGGTTTATATTGTAAAACCAATAACTGTATTTGAAGGTGGTTTTTCACACTACACATGTTTCCTTATCCCTTTTCCTCAATTCTCATAAAATTGATTGGTTTCCCTGGGTTGGGGTGGCTGCCTCCTTAGGTATTTCTTGTATCTAAAAGCTGCTTCATTTCTGTGAATAAGGAAACTGAGGTCCTGAGAGGTAGAGTGACATAACTTAGGTCCTAGAGCTTTGGCTAATTTTCTTCATGTGTGTCCTTTACTTCCCTGTAGTACTAGTATTGTCAGGTAGAGTTCATTTTAAGTCAGATTCTCTTTGGACTCCATTCAAAGGGACTTAGTTATGAAACTATCTAGTGAGTTCTCTATCTGGCTGATGCCTCTTAATGGTATACCTCCCACCAACAGAGCTCGAGAACAGTGAGGCACTCCACAGGGGAATTATGCATATGCATCATTCTATATTTATCTAAGATGGAAGCCTAGGTATGTAAACGGACTAGAGCAGAGATGTTTTCTCTATGTAGTAAATTTGGATTTAAATAGCATTGTTGTCCATAGAAATTTAGAAGGGACTTTTGAGAGCACCTACTGCACCGTTCTGCTCATTTTCCAGAGGAGGAAATCGAAGACCTAATATGTGAAATGGCTTGCCCAAGTTCAGGGGCATAGTTTCTGCTAGAAGCGGGCTTTGGAGGCATATTGCCCAGGTTCACATCTCAACTCTGCCAGTTAACTGGCTTCATAATCTTGAGCAAATTGTGTATACATGTTGACCCTCAATTTCTTCATCTGTGAAATGGGAATAATAATAATAATTTCTTGCTTCATATGAATTCAAATGAGAAACTGCCTGTAAAGTGCTTAGCACAGTGCTTGGCCCATAATAAAGTACTACATAAATGTTGAGTTATGATTTTTGTTATTGTAATGGTAACCAGAGGCTGTGTGTGATCTTATCAAGTATGGGTTACCAATTTTTTATACAGTGCAATCCGAATAACCCCAAACTTCTACGTAATGTCATTTAGTCTTTTTTCCTGTCTTAAGGTACCCTCTGGTTACTGTAACAATATGGTAATCCACCATTTATCTGTGGGGCAGGCTATGTGCTAAACACTTTGCATGTAGTTTCTCTCTGGAACTCCTTCGAGGTAGAGGACTATTATTATCCTCATTATACAGACAGAGAAATTGGGGATTAGTGCAGTTATATTATTTGCTCAAGATCACACAGCCAATAACTGACAAAGTTGGGATTTGAACCCAGGCAATCTGCCTCCACAGCCAGTGAAGGCATATAATATCTTGGCTATAATACCTCTAGGACATCAGTTTAACAGTACAGTGTAGAAGCAGAAGACTGGCCTGAATCTCTACTTGACCTTACGCTATACCTTGGAAATTGTGTTTTAAAAAAATTTTGTATTGATAGAAATGGAGGAAGAAAAATATAGTGCCCATATGTATACTACCATTTAGATTTAACAGTAGTCAATATTTTTTCTATTTATTTACTTAATTTATATATTTTTGGAAAAAATTTCAAATTATGTTTTTCTTTTTGTCTACTTCTTTGCCTTTATCCCTTTCCTCTTTCCCTATCCCAAATGGAAAGTGATTGTATAGATTTTATATTTTCTGGCATAAGTCTAGTTAAATGTAATTTAGTGTTAATTTTGCTGGTGGGTTATCTATAACAGAGGAAGAAATTCCTTACATGAATTCATGGGAATATAAGTTATTTTTAAAAATAAATATGCCTTTTCATAATAAATTTTGAGGAAACATCAATACTTTTTAACCCATCTACACTGCTTAAAAAAAAAAATCGTTTTTAGGAAGTAAAATAAATCATCTAGTTACTGCTTGCTTTTGAATAAGGATAGTATGACCTAGATTTAAAACCCGAGACTCTTCTGTAGTTGGTTTCTTAACTACTGCTCTAACACGAAACCGCTGAAGGTCCACCCAACCTCATAGACTGTTTCAGAACCTGTTGTGGCATGGTTAATGTGAATGCCAGCAAAGCCACATTATCTGTATTCTATTTAAAAGAGGAATTGGCTAGGAAATATTAGGAGGTTTTCTGTGCTACTGAAAACATTAATCTAATAATATAAACCGTATATTTCAAAACTACATGTTGAAAAGTAGTCAGCTTTAAACTCTTCATGACCTTGCAATGAGTTGATACAAAAGTACACTTTCAGAAATGTAGTGTTTTAAAATATTCTCTGTGACACAATTTCCTACTTACATAGCTTTCTCTGTTGGTTGACCTATTTTGCTGTCTTTCAAGGGCTGCACAATGTGTAATGCTTGTCCATATGGAACTTGTTGTC